TCCATCCATTCATCTACCCACCTACCCATCTATCCATCCATCCATCATTCGTTCATTCATCTATTCATCTACCCACCCACCTATCCATCCATCATTCATCCATCCATTCATCTACCCATCCACCCACCTATCCACCTATCCATCCATCATTCATTCATCTATTCATCTACCCACCCACCTATCCATCCATCATCCATCCATTCATCTACCCACCCACCCATCCATCCATCCAACATCCCTCCACCAGTCACTGTGGGTCTTTCTAGGAACTTCCACCAAGGACCCAGGAATCTAAGTAGAGAGGCAGAGGCATGAGTCTGAGTGTCTTGTCAGGTCTAAGCCAAGAGTGCCTGTGTGCAGATGCGGGATCTTGCTGGGTGCTGGAGAGGAGGGAGGGATGAACAGGGGGCGCGGGGGCCCTTACCCAGATGGTGAGTTGGTTGTCCTGGCCCTGTGAGGAGAGAGGACAGAGGGGAGACATGCTCAGAGAGAGGGAGCCTGGTGGGACACAGCGGAGAGAGTAAAGAAGGCGTGTGGGCTGGTTCAGGGTGAGAGCAGAGCGGAGGTGGGGATAATACTAAAAGATACAGGCAGTGAGTAGGGGTATCTAGGAGAAACAAAGTCCCTGGGGGGCCAAGTTGAAGGGGGAAGACAAGTGGCTTTGGAGTTACCTGGGCGCCAGGGCTCCAGGGGCACCGAGAGACTCCAGGGCCCATCGCCTGCCGCCGTGTAGGCTGCCACAGACACCATGAGGCTGGGCACCAGGCCTTCTCTCCGCAGCTCCAGGATCACCTCTTGTTTCAGGCCCACATCCATGAGTACCTGGGAGGTCCAGAGGGGACATTGGGGTAGATTCCCCCAACCCTTCACCCTCTGCCTCCACGGCCCAGTTTCTTCCTTCAGGCCCTCTCCTCCATCCCCAGGCCTCTTCCTGGACATTTTCTAGCCCTCCCCCTCTTGCTCTCAGTGCCTTTCACCTCTAGTCCCCCACCCCACCCCCACTCTCACTGGAATATCAGCTGCACAAGGGCAGGGCCTTTATCCGTTTCACTCCCTGTGTGGCCCCACTTCTCAGAGCGGTGCTTGGCACACCCTCCTGCTCAAGAAACGCTTACTGAGGAGTACCTTGCCCTCCCCTCCTGGCTCCATCCCCTCTTAACTCCCTGTCCCTCGACTCTGAGGGAGGCCCCTAGGCACTGGACAATGCTTCTGTGCAAACTAGGAAAAGGGCACCCTTTTCTCAAGCTGCTGTACTACTCTGCTGTCAAATGGCCATAGGAAAGCGAGCCACCCGACTGCTAACCGCAAAGTCAGCCGTTCGAAACCCGGCACCGCTCCTGGGCAGGGAAGATGAGGCTTTCTGTTCCTGTGAAGATCTCCAGCCTCGAAAGCTCCCAGGGGCAGTTCTACTCCGTCCGATAGCATTGCTACGAGTTGGAATCCGCCTGGCAGCAGGAAGGCCTGCTTGCAGTCGAGTGGACCGGACTCAAGATGACCCGGTGTGTGTCCGTCCGTTGTGGGGGGAAGTCAGATATTTGCTGCCAGACTGCTGTCTCATCCCACCACAGGGGTGGGCCTTCTCCCTGCTGCTGGAGACAATGGACTATTCTCTGAAGCTTGGGGCCATTAGCTTGGTTCCTGTAGGAGGGGTTTGCAACCTACTGATAAGGGTTCCTATAGAAACCCAGAGACCACCCCCTAGACCATCCCCTCATTACTGTGTAACCTATAGTGCAGCCCCTTCCTGTGATGTATGTTTCTACCTGCAATTAGTGGGCTGGCTTGCCCCCAAAAGGTATATAGGTGTGAGCCAGCAATATAGATCTCTCTCTGACTCTGAGCTCCTTGCTGCTCACTCCCTGGTCACTCCCCTCTCCCTTGTTCCCTTCCCCTCTTTCCCTTCCCCCTCTCTCCACGTGGACCACCAAGCTGGGCTGAGGTGAGCGATGGTATCATGTAATGTGTCTGACTGTATTATTGCAATATCTCTCATGCTCTTGATGACTTTAATAGAATGCTTATATATCTCAACCGTACAATTGTGCATTACTGAACCCTGAAGTAGTATTACAGAACTCGTAGGAGTAGCAGCGGGTGGGGGCTGGCCCTTCACCCCCCCCCAGCGCCATTATTTTTTAATTTAATACTACAAATGGCGCCCAACGCGGGGCAATGAGTTATATATCCCGTGTAACAATTGTACGGCCCCACCGGAATGTAGAGTGAATCGGAAAATTGTGTGAAGTGAGGATCCGGTGTGGGGATTGGCAAAAAAGTAGTGGAAATAGTGAATAAGTATTTTAAAGAGAACAATGGGGCAAGGTTAAAGTAAACCTGAAACTTATGGTACTAAGCTCATCTACTTACTGAAAAGACAGAGTGTAAAAGTAACGAAGAAAAAGATGCAATGTTTTCTAAAAGTAGTAAAAAGGTATAATCCATGGTTCCCGGAGGGAGGAACTTTCAATCTAGAGACCTGGGAGGAGGTCATGGTTAACTTAAAGAAAGCACACAGAGATGGGGAGAGTATCCCTATGGAGACGTGGTCTCTGTGGGTTCAAGTTAAGATGGTTTTAAAACTTTTGCAGGAGGAAGAGAGTGAGGATTATCAGTCTAGTGAGAAGTCTTGTGTGAGCTATCCTAATCTAGAAAAGCAAGCTAAAGTGTCTATGAATGAGCATGAATTAGGCAATGAAATTTTAGGAGAAACTGAAAAAACAGGGATTGATTTATTTTCTAAGGCCTCTGATTCTAAAAGAAACCTCATGGCCAAAGCCTATATGCCCTCGGGGGACTGCAGCCTCCGAAGGTTTGAAGGTGATAAAGTAGGAGAGGCAGCGAATTCCAAGATCAAAAGCGAGGCTATTAAGCAAGCCCAGGAAGCTTCCTTACTATCAAAGGTAGAGAAAGCAAAGGTAAAGAAACAGGACCAGCAAAGTAATGAGGAACATCTAAGATACGCAAACTTAAATCAGGTGAGAAGCAGGCAGAATGGCGCAAATGAGAAGATTTTAGGCAGAATTGAAAAAACTGAGTCAGAAGAGGACATAGTAAAATCAGCTGCTCCTCTTTTGGAATTTATTGTAAGAAAGACCAGAGATTGTAAAACAATCAACCAAGCCAGTGCTGGAGGTAGAGAGATTAGCTCCAAAGAAATGCAAACTAGTGGGGCTGACACAAAAGTAGCAGTTAGGAAGGTGCAACTTGGAGATAAACAGATTAAAAAGAGCAGCTCAGAGAACAGAAGCAAAGAGTATAGAAAAGCATCTTTACTTTCAAGAGTAGAAAGAGGGATTGCAGAAGAAGGAGATTTAGAATTTAGAATGTCTTATCCAGTTAGAGTTGTTAGCAGACAGCAGTATGGGAAACACCCACAAGGAATTCACAGTGCCTTTCCATTTAAGTTGCTAAAAGATCTCAAACAAGCAGTCAATAACTATGGCCCAGACTCCCCATTCGTTATTAGTATGATAAAATTTCTGGCAGATTATGAGCATTGGATCCCAGCAGATTGGAGGGCGATAACGAAATCTTTCCTCTCATCTTCAGAATCTTTGCAATATCAATTATTATGG